CTGGGCAGCGAGACCTCATCTCTACAATCAATCAAAAAAAAATCAGCCGGGCGTGGTAGCACATGCCTGTAATTCCGGCTACACGGAAGGCTGAGGTGGAAGGATTGCTGGAGCCCAGCAGGTGGAGGTTGTGGTGGCTGGGAGCAGCCACTGCACTCCAGTCTGGGTGACAGAGTGAGACTCCAACTCAAAAAAAAGAAAAAAGAAAACTCTGGGCTGGGGCATGATGGTAGTCCCACTTACTTGGGAGGCTGAGGTGGGAAGAGCATTTGAGCCCAGGAGTTCAAGTTCAACCTAAATGAGACCAGGTTAAAAAAAACAAGAAGAAACTCTGGATGGAAGTTTTATAATTATTCAAATAGTATAAACAATTTATATTGTACATATATAAACTTAGCCTACTTGCTATATAGACTTTTCTAATTTCCGCATTAGGATTTCATGGTAGTTTTGGTGAAACATTCAAAGTCAAAAGATGGTCAGAATTTCACATTAAGCTGATTTTTAATATAATAATATTAATTCACTTGACTGTCATCTTCTGTGTCCTGTAAATCAGCATCAAAATCTAAATCATCATCACTTTTTTCATTTCTTCTGCAGCTTCTTCTACTGTCGTAACCTGGATTATTGTCAATATTTTCTGGTTCTTTATTAAACCTAAAACAGAAGAAAGAAATTTCTAATTATTTCCCAGATTTTCATTACTTAACTATGCAGACTAAAAAAATAGCTTTACCAGTACATGTCTTGATTAAAGGAAACCTAATAGTGCCGGGCTCGGTGGCTCAGCCCATAATCCCAGCGCTTTGGGAGGCAGAGGTGAGTGGATTGCCTGAGCCCGCAGGTTCAAGACCCACCTGGGCAACTTGGCGAGATCTCATCTCTACAATAAATCAAAAATCAGCTGGGTGTGGTAGCGTACGCCTGTAGTTCCAGCTACTTGGAAGGCAGAGGTGGAAGGATTGCTGGAGTCCAGCAGGTCGAGGCTGCAGTGGCTGGGAGCGTCCAGTGCACTCCAGTCTGGGTGACAGAGTGAGACTCCAACTCAAAAAAAAAAAAAAGAAAAAGAAACCTAATAAGTGTGAAGTAAAAAAAATCTTTATTAACTTAAGATTCAATCAATTATAATACTACTGCCAATAAAGCAGATTCAGAAAAATTAATACATGCCCATTAATGAATAGTTATATAAGTAATTCTTTTGTAGTGCATGTAAACCTCATAGATAAATGTTTTATTTTCTTAAAAATATTAAGCTGTGCCGGGCTCGGTGGCTCAGCCTGTAATCCCGCGCCTTTGGGAGGCTGAGGTGAGTGGATTGCCTGAGCCCGCGGGTTCGAGACCTGCCTGGGCAGCAAGACCTCATCTTTACAATAAATCAAAAAATCAGCTGGACATGGTAGCACATGCCTGTAATTCCGGGTACTCGGAAGGCTGAGGCGGAAGGATCGCCGGAGCCCAGCAGGTCGAGGCTGCGGTGGTCGGGAGCGGCCACTGCACTCCAGTCTGGGCAACTGAGTGAGACTCAGACTCAAAAAAAAAAAAAAAAATATTAAGCTGCATTTGCATTATAATGTAGAAAAATTTGACAAATAATTATGACTCTTCTCCTGTTTGGTAGAAAAAAAAAAAGTCTGTATTAGTG